GAACATCCCTTTGGGGAGCTTCTTCCGGTCTTCCTTCTGTCCTGTTTTCCCAGCCTTCTTGGGGAGCATCTGGGACTCAGCCTCTTGCTGGGACTCCATTCTCGATTCAGCTGAGTCTGAGGTTGGGACAGTCCCGTCTTCTTCTGAGCTGGGAAGAGGCATCCCAGTTCCATTCCTTTCAAAGGTTTTGGTCGAAGAGCAGCAGAGAAGGATTTCCATGAAAATCTTCCTCCCCTCCCAGTTGTTGCTGCTGCTTCCCCCAGTTCCCCTCCATCCCTCTCAGAGGCAGCAGGTCTCCCTTGGGGCAGATCAGGAGATACTTTTGTATTTTGAAGATCTTTCTGTCTTTGTTGAGGGGTCAAAGGAACTGTGAAATATCCGCTGGGGTTCTTCCTCCTAGAGAGGGAGAGATTGGATGATCTCTGGTGGATTCTTTTGAGCTTTCACTGATTTTTATCCTTGCAGAGAGACATCAAGATGACCACAATGCAACACCGAGTGAATTGTCCTCTTTACAAGTAATCGCCAACTTAGAGCAGGGACCAGAGGCGCCATCACTTGAGAGGTTTGTGTCTGTGTGTCTGTGTGCTATCTTCCTCTTCATCGTAAAAATCTGGCTGGGGAAGATGGGCCCCCTTTTCAGTACAGCCAGGCTGTTCTTGGAAGTGGGAACATTTGAGACAAGGAACCTTCCAGAAGATGAGAAGACCCAGCTGATGGAAGGTCCCTCTGACTGAGGACATGCTCTGTTTTCCATGTGGGCGGAAAGAAAAGGCTTGGCCAAATGACAGTCAGAAGCTCCTTAAAATTAGGGATCAAAAGGGGGCATTTTGAGAGAAAAGGAGCTTTGGGGGATGCCAGCTGGATCTCCTCTTGGTCTCCCATCACAAGGCTCTCTAAGTACGAACTGACTGGAAAAAGAAACTTTGAATCCATCTGTATCTTTTTAGGTCAGCTCTGCCTTCTGACTTTGTGTGATACACATATAAATTTGAAGAATTCTTTCCTACGCCTTTAAGCCAAAGCGGTTTGGTTCAAACTCTCTCCGTGTATTTCTGTGTCTTTGATTGTGTGTGAGAGAGAGAGAAAGGGAGGGAGGGAGATGGAGTCAGAAAGAGCTGAGTTTTTCCATCTGTAAGCCAAGAGAGCAACTTGCTCACCCGCTTTTCTTTCCGTCTTTTCCAGGAAGTGAGGAAGGATCCAGCAGTTCCAGCCAGGGTAAGTCGGAGGGAGCTGCTGCTGCATGAGCCATTCTGTCCCTTTGCCAGACTTTGGGCGGATTGTGGGGGGGATGAAAAGAGGGAAAGCCCCCCCTCTTTTTTAAAAGGCCCTCCTAATAACTCTTCCCCGTGTTCCCTCTGTGTCCAGTTGTGGTGAAATAATTAGAATAATTAGAGACAGTTTTATTTAGTGGTGAGGGCACCAAGTGAGACTAACTGGGAGATTGTAAGTTCTTTTCTTTTTTAAAGAAAATTTTATTGATTTTCTAATTTTACAGTTAAATATTTGAAAAGCACGTGGCAGCTGAGTTGGTCAATAATTCAATAACATACAAATACCTTTAGTACAGATCTCGAACTATTACATTAAATATTTCCTCTCTTTTCCCTTTGGTATTTAATGTCTCATATTTAAATTAATGCAATTCTTGTTATACCGATTAAATAAAAAAAACTTTTCCCCTCCTTTTTGCAGTACCAGTGGACACTCCCAGCATAAGGAGGGAGGAGAGAAGAGGGGATCAACTTTCTTCTGAATTAGGACCGACTCTCAGGTGGAGCCCTTCAAACCCTTCCAGCATGCTGGAACCAGGATGTATTTTGGGCCTTGCTCTTCAGGTGCCTCATTTCATGCAGTCGCCCAAGAATGCGGAGACCCTTGATTGATGGGAAAGAAGTCCCCATATTACGGCGGATGCTTTCTGAGCAAAGAAGCAAAAGGAGAGAAAGTGAACAGTGAAATTGAAAAGGGTGGGGGTCTTTCACCCAAACTTCTTTTGGGATTCCCAGATGCCTTCAAGAGCTGGCCATCTTTGAGAGCCTATAAAATAGACTATTTAAAGCAGCCACATCCATCCCGGCCCCTGTGGGCCACATGCAGCCCTGGATAGCTAGTAAAGCAGTCCTGCAGAAGTTTTAATGTTATAGTAAAAATATAAAGGAAGTTATTTATATACATTAACTATATTATATATTGTATATGTGGCCCAAGACAATTTCTCCTCACTCCATACAGCCCAGGCAAGCCGAAAGGTCAGACACAGCTGCTTTAAAGCATTTTGTGAGAATTCAATCAGTATTTGAATATCTTCCACTGATTCAAAAGTTTTAGAACTGTTTTTATTTCTTAGACACCTAAACAACTTTAGGCAACTCACAAAAATAGTCAAACTATGAAGAACACAAAAACCGTGTGACGGTGACTTCCGGTGGCGAGGCTTCGCCGATGGAGGCTTTTTTCTCAGCCTCCTGCCCGGGACTGCGTCAAAGCTGTCAAAACAGCGCGGATCAGCTGTTTTGCGGCTCGGAACTTTCTCCCCGGGCGAAGGGGAGAAAGTGAGTTTGGTTCGGATAGGGGTTGAGTTCCCTAGTCCCCCCAGGAATGATCCTGGGGGGATGCAGGTGTGAACTCCCCCGGAGTCTGGACCTCTTCTCCGCAGCTCGGAGTGTCTTCGCTCTTCGGAGCGAGGCTAGATGTCGCCGCCACTGCTGCTACTTTGTATCTGCTTGTGAGTAACTTTTGAACAGACGGAACCTGATGGGATTTTTACTTTAGTTAAATGGTGACTTTAACTCAAAGATTTTATTGGGATTTTTGCTACTTGCTATAAGTGAAAGTGAGAAGAAAATGGCCGCGGAAGCGCTGTTTCTTTGTAACAAAAGGAAAACTTTCACTTTCTTTCCGGTTGTGGAATGATGCATTTTAAAGGATTTTAAAGAATTCTTCTTAAGTCAAGCTTTTTTAAGTTAACTTTTGCTCTTGTGTGTTTTAAAAATAATTTGGCAGAATGGCTTCAAAACGTACTGGAGTTTCTGCATTGCCTAAAACAGCTATTTCTTCTCCTGTTGTGCAAATTCAACAACAAAAACCTAGATCTCCCCCACCATCACCACCTCCTTCCATTACACTTAAAGATCTACAAGAGGCTTTAGCTAAGTCCTCATTACAGACTGTGAAACAAACAGAAGAACTTTTGGATAAGAAAAATCAGGAACTTTGTGAAAATATATCACATATTTTTGAAGGACTAGCAGTTCATATCGATCGTATAGAGGGAAGGGTGGATGAATTAGTGGAGAAAATGGAAGGAACAGAGGACAGACTTGAGAAAGTAGAAGAAGGCATGGAAATTTTACAAAATGACATGGTAATGTCACAATACAAAGAAATGGAATTTGCCCTGAGAATTAGGGGGCTTAAGGAGGATTTACAAGAGAAACTTAAGGAGGAAATTGTTACAGCTTTGGCCCTGGTATTGAACTGCAACCCTGAGGTGATATGTGGAGAAATAGAAAAAATTTATAGAGTTAATTCCTGGGTTCCACGTCAGAAATATACCTAGAGATGTGGTTGTTTACTTTACCACAAGAGTACGTCGTAATGAAATTATACAGCTCTTTTATCAGCAGAGATTTCAAATTGCTACACAAGATATTATACTTTTAAAAGAAATACCTTCTAAGATTTTAAGAAGAAGAAAAGACTTTACTTTTTTGGCTCAGGAGTTAAAGAAGCGGCAGATGCCTTTTAGATGGGAGATTCCTCTGGGCATTGTGGTAAATTTTGCAGGGACCAGATATAGATTAAACTCTGTTCAGAAAGCCAGAGATCTTTATTTGTCAGTCCTGAAAGCTGATTTGTCACCATCATCAACATCTAAAGCACAGGAAGACTTGATGGAGCAACTTGTTGTGGAATTGCCTGGGGCCATGTCATTATCTGCAGGAGATCCTCGGAATCAACAAAAGTTGGGAGTGAATGCAAAGGAGCAAAGGATGACTCGTGCTGCCTATAGGCGTAAAGAAAGAGACCAACAACAAAAGGAAACTGTAATATATTCACTGACTTCAGAACCAGTGGGAGGGGCGAGGCCAAAGAGATCTGCAACAACAGACTTGCAGGGAATGCTTAATAAGCTTCATAAGCCAAAGGATGGTTAAATTGATGATGCTGGAAGTGAGATTTTATTATGGAAAAGGAAGAAATTAGTTTAATATCTGATTATATGTTTGTAAAGAACTTATAATACTTTGAAAGTTTTAAAATATTTGATAAACTAAATTACTTTTCCAACTATTGACTTAAGATTTTTGTTGAAAGTATTGATTTGAGAGTGAAGAAAGTGAAGGAAAAATTTAAGAGTAAAATGTAAGAAAAAATCTATATAAAATGTTTGACAGATATTTAGATTTTTAAAAATTGTTTTAAGTTTAAATGTTGAAGGTGGATAAATTATATTTAGAGAAAGTATGGAGTGAATAAATATCATATAGTTTTTGAGTAGATGTATTGTTTTTACTTATTGCTTTATTAGAGTTAAAGTATGTATATATTGATTGTATTATGTTTGTTTAGTTAAATTGTAATTAAGATATGGAATGGGATGTGTGTTAGTCCTGTATTGGTTCCGGGAAGTCCAGGGGGGGTAGGGGATTGGGGGAATTATAAAAATCGATGTATTTACACTTTATAGGTAAACATTTATTGTATTGATAAGAGGAGATACTCGGCTGGTATCCCAAATTGTACTCGAGAAGGTGGTTAGGAAGGAAGGGGATGTAGGTAGGTGGTAAGGAGGAAGGTTGAGAGGTTGTGGGTCAGAGGGAGGAAGGATAGGAAAGTGGATGAGGTTGGAGGCAAGGCGGAGACTGCCGAGCGTCTCTGAAAATGTATTGACTTGGATTATTTTTTCTTTTTGTTTATGTATGTAAATGCATCATTATTTGTTGTTTAATTATAAAAATCAATAAAATTTTTATTAAAAAACAAAAACAAAAACCGTGTGACAAAAACTAAAAACTTGGGCCCTCCAAGTTTCTTCCTTTTAGGAACCCCAACACCCATCTGCAGGATGGTGGAAGGCGCTACGCATGCAGATTCAGTGTCCACCGCATCAAACATTGTTGCGCTCCCAGGTCCCTCCTCGGCCAGCAACAATCCTCCTTAGCCAAGAGGTGGGAAAGTTCCCCCCCTCCAGTCATCACCCCCACATCTTCCCTACTGGAACATGGCATTCACCACTTTTCCTGAAGCCAGGATATGGATACGAAGCCAGGTTTTGATGCCATTGTGGAAGGCTAAGAGGAGGGGGATCTGCTCGAGGGTCTTCAAAAATGTATTTGCAGCCATAGGAAAGGGACACTTCCAAGAGTTGCTGCCAGGGAGACGTTTTTCACTGAGGTAGTTCTTCTCAGGTATAGACAACTTGGAGTCCTCCAGATACTTTACACTTCAACTCCCATCATGCCTTGCTGCCAGGCTGCTCTCTGGAGACAATTGGCCTACACTGGTTGCAAATAAAATAACTCAGAATGAAGTGAATTTGGTAATCCAGGAGCGAGTACCTTCCTGGGACGCTGCAATGGTCGTAAGTATGAACCGGTTGCCAAGCATCTGAATTTTGGTCACGTGATCCTGGGGATGCTGCCAAGGTCGTAAGTGTGAAAAATGGTCATAAGTCACTTCTTTCACAGCTGTTGTAACTTTGAACGGTCACTAAATGAACTGTTCTAAGTCGAGGACTACCTGTACTTTCCTCATCGTGGAGAGCAGGAGTTTCAGTTCATTACTGAACATCATAATAACAGCGATCCTAATCCGAAGGCTGATTTATTTAGTTCCAGGATTCCCCAGAAGAACCAGCAAAGGAGAGAGCAGCCATCTCAGTTTATTGCGGAGAGAACTGAAGCGTTTGAAGCTTCCTAGAGATTCGTTGTCTTCACCGGAAAATAAAAGGAAATAGGGAATTTATGTACAATATTTCAGGACTCTGATCTTTTCCCCTAGAAAGACGGGTCTTCCCCTTGAAGAGGCAACAGAAGGGTTTTCATCCAGAGGAAGATCACTTGGGATTTCTGACCTAGAACATAGAACTTTGAATCACTGGGCTGGAAGGGACCTCAAGAGATCTTCTAGTCCACCCCTCAGCTCAAGGCTAGAGACCTTGTATCATCCTGGTCAAACGGTGGTCCGGTCTATTTTTCTAAATCCCCTCTGATGGAGTGCTCACAATTCCAGGAGGAAAACTATTCCATTGATTTTATTGTTCTCACTGTCAGACAATTTCTCCTTCCTTCTAGGTTGGATCTCTCTTTCACAAGATTCCACCCCTTGTTCCTTCTCCTGCCCTCTGGGGCTTTGGGGAATAAATCCACCCTCTCTTCTCTATGAGAGCTCCTCAAGGGCTGGAAGACAGTCATCATGTTCCCCCCCCCAAGCCTTCTCTTCCATAGGCTGGACACGCTTGGCTCCCTCAACCCTTCATCCTAGTGTTACGTGCTCCTGGCTACTTTCCTTCGTGACCAGAGGCCAGCTCGCCTGACCAATAACCAGCCAAGACACAGTGAAAGCCTTTTGTTTTGCTTATTGCAATAAGCGGGGAGAGAAGCTATCAAAGCTTGGTTCTCTCCAAAGTTTTAACCCAAAATATTTCCTTCTTTATACATCCCTTGTCCCGGCCACCACATCCCTCCTCTTTCCCCATTGGCTGAGGTACTATGAGGTTACACTCTTTCCGACTGCCTCCTACATATTTCCTGCTACGTACTAAATCATACATCACATGTACATTAAAATTAGGAGATAATTTATGCAAGGTGTGTCAGTTAATATTAATCAATTGCGCATGCTCAGTTGCCTGAGTTCTGGCCCCCTTTTTTATGACTTCTTAGAAAAATAGGTTCTTTCCTGTTTTGCTAGTTATCTTCTATTACAGATGTTTTCTTCTTCCTTTTCCCACTCTTAAGACCCAGCTATTTTTGCCTACATATTTCCTTTACATCCTTTCTTTATGTTAACCTTTCCTGTTTCCCACCATAGCTTCTCTACTCAGTATACTTCCACTGCAGCAAATTCAATTTTAAATTTCTCTTTCAATATTAAATTTTGAAGACCTTTCTTTTACTTCTATCACTAGGATTTATTCTCCA